CCAGACCGAACGACCCCGTCGTCGGCAATCTGTTGCGGCGTGTTCAGGCGATGCGGGACACGGAGTGAGTTGGGCGGCGTCGCTGCCGACGGGCCCGCTCGGAGTCGATGATCGTGCCGCTGCTAAAGCGAGAGTGATCGCCATTCAATCGACTCTTCGAGCGATGCGAACGCCGAATCGACGGATTGCAAGTCTTGCCGCGTGGAGGGGCGATAGCGAGTCGGTACGGACTCTTCGGCGGCTTGCTGTTGATGGCTGTCGAGCAGCAGCAGGCGCCGCGCACGGTGGGGAGTCGGCCCAGGATCGCTCATCGGTGTTGCCGATCGGCTTAGCGCCGACGATGTGGCGGTGATGAGTGGCGTATCGATCCACCTCAGCGTGTTGACGCCGATAGCGGACGACTCGGTCTGCGTGGATTCACTTTCGCTGACGGTGGCTGCCACCTCGGGCTGGGGAGGGGCGTCGACTTCGGTTGGCGGCGTGCTGGCGAGCGCCGCCGCTAAGACTTGTGCCGCGTGCTGCTGATCCCGCCAGACCGTGTAGTCGGCGGCGTTAACGACGCCATCGGCGTTCCCGTCGGCGCGGAGGTCGGTGGTCGAGCCGTAGGTTGCACGCCAGACGAGGTAATCGTCTTCATCGACGACGCCGTCGGAGTCGAAGTCCCCTGGATTGGTCGCGACATCGAAGGTCGCCTTGACGAGGCCCGACCACTGCCCACTGAGCGTGCGTAGGCGCGCCATGACGGTCGTCTCTCCGGCGAGTGGGATCGGCCCGCCGTAGGCTTGGACCTCGCTTGAAGCGTTGACCGCGCCTCCGATGCTGCGGGGGTCGGTCTGGCCGTCGGTTGTGTAGTAGATCGTGCCCGCGCCTGAGGTCATGGACAGCTCGAAGCCGAAGGGCGCTTCACCGCCGAACTGGCTGAACGTTGGGGCGGCGAAGGAAGTGAACAGGCCGTCGGCGCGGAGCTGGTTGAGGACGAGCGGTCCCCGGGTTGGGAAGTAGGTGTTGATCAGCCAGTTGACCTCGGATTCCCAGGTCGACTTGTTCCGGGGCGTGCTGAGTTTCGAGTCGCCCCAGCGTGCGGCCTCGGCGATGATCGCCGGATCGACCTGCTCCTTACGCTCGAGCATCCGGGCGATGCTGGCGTCCACGGTCAGCGCTCCGCCGTTGAAGAACAGCTCTTGCGTGCGGTCGATGAACTTCTGCTTGTACTCGGGGTGCGAGAGCAGGTCTTGGTGGAGGAAGTGCGGGTTGAACTGCTCGAAGACCCGGTCGTTGTTGCTGATGAAGGGGCCGGTGCGGTCGATGCCCAAGGTGCCGTGAACGCCCGAGCCGGCGCCGAGCGAGTGCTCGTTGTCGTGAAGGAAGAACTGGAAGCCTTGCTCGCCCGTGACGCGGTTGCGGATGCCGAACCAGTTGTTGGCGCGCTCGTTGTTGAGGAACTGGGAGATGCCCGAGTCGTAGCCGCCGGTGTAGATGATGATCATCATGTAATCGACGAGGTTGCCTACGTCGAGCAGCACCGGCAGCGACGGGTCGCGCGAGCCGTCGGGGTGAAGCCCTTGCATGGTCCAGTAATTGTTGGCGTACCGGCCGGGGCTATCCGCCATGGTCTGGGCGAGCTCGAACAACTGGCGCCATGCGGCGTCGTTGCCGTCGGCGATCTCGGTGCCCCCGGAAACAGCGAGGTCGGATTTCACAACGTCGTAGTCCGAGGCCTCACCGCCGAAGTAGCTCTCACCGAAGTCTTCACTAATGCGTTCCTGGGTCATGAAAATGCCCCAGTACTGACCGTCGAGATAGAGATGGTAGTAATTGCTACGGGTGTGGGGCTGACCGAGGTCTGCCTGTGTGTCGCGTGCAAAGACTTCGCGCAGGAACGTGTTTTGGACGTTGCCTTCGGACGACCAGGAGTAGTTCTGGGCGGTGCGGAGATCGAGGACGTCAAACTCATCGACGCCGTCGTCCCCGTACGGCGGGTAGTTGAGCTTTCCGTCGCCGTAGTCGCCACGGAAGTAGAGGCGGAAGGCGTGCTTGGGATTGAAATCGCCGCGGCTGTAACCGCCGCGGATCCGCAGGCCCGCGGTGGTGGAGAAGCCTTCCGATCCGTCGGGGTTGATCAGTTCGACCGACGTGAGTCGTTCCCAGTTGCGGCCTCGGTTGCCGGCATTAACGTAGATGCCCGTAGACGAATTGAACAGGTTCGCCAGATCGGTTGTCAGCGTGATTGTCGGGATCGAGAGGAGGGAGTCCTTGACCGCCTGCACGCCGTACTGGCTGATGATGTCAGGGTCGATCCCGTAGTTCATCTCCTGGCCATTGACGCCGCTGACGGGCCAGCCGGGGGGTGTTTGGCCCTGAGGCGACTGAGCGACGATGTCGTTGAGGAAGAGGTAGCTCGCCGATTGGACGTAGGAAGTCTTAAAGTCCTGTCGGTACGCGATCGCCCGTATGGTCCGTGTGCCGCTGACGGTAATCGGGCCCGTGTAGACAACGCCGTTGGTCGGGACGAGGTTGGCGTTGACCGTCGGCGTTGAGCCGTCGGTGGTGTAGAGGATCGTCGCGCCGGGCGTCGCGCTGGCGAGCGCGATCGACTGCGGCGTGTCGTAGAAGCCGTGCGGGACGCTGAAGGTCGGCTCGGTGGCGAACCCGGCGAAGCTCTCGCCGTTGCCGTATCCGGGAGTAGGGACGTCGAAGAAGCCGAGCGTCTCAGGCGTTGTGATGACGGACTGCTCGGCGACTAGCAGCGGCGACATCAGGAAGTCGGAGCTGGTGTTGGAGATGTTCAGTGCGTGGATCGCCAGGACGTTCTCGCCGATCACCAGCGACGAAATCGCGCCCGAGACGTCGAACTCTTCGTAGACAATCGCGTCGTCGTCCTCGTTGAGCCCCGACGCGGCGGCGTTCCATTGCGCGCCCTCGGGTGCGTTCGACTCGGCGATCGGGACGCCGTTGAGGTAGGCGATGAAGCCGTCGTCGTACTTCATAGCCAGCTTGAGCTGGTCAATGCCCGCAAGCGTTGTCAGATCGAACTCGATGCGCACGTACAGCGATGTCGTGCCTGCCGGAACCGTTGTGCCGATATGGCTGGTGAAGTTGACGGCGTTGCCAGGCGAAGATTCGTATCCAAAGCCCGTCGGACCCGCGATGTTGAAGAGCGCGTCATTGAACTCGGGGCTGGTCCACGTTGCGTCGTAGACGCTGCTCGTGGGGACCCAGGCGCGGCCTTGTGCCCCCCCGCCGACGAGCACCGTCGAAGCGCCCGTCGGTTCCATCGATAGTCCAAACGAAACGTCGTCGGTCTGTTCGGGAAAGCCCGGGAAGATCTCGTCAACGACCGTGACGCCGTCATCGTCGAACAGGCCGATGTACTCACCGTCAGCCGACAATGCGAAGCTGGCGTGTAGTTCCCCGTTCGGGGCGAGGAGGTCTTTGTCCGAAGCGAAGACAACGAGGTAGCCACCCGCCGCGACCGATGCGTCCTCGGGGAACTCCCACTTCGTCGGGTTGTTCTTGCGGTCGCTGAGATAGAAACCAGAGAGATCGACCGTCGCAGCGGACGGGTTGTAGATCTCGACCCAGTCGGAGGCGTCGCCCTCGAAGTCGTAGAGCGTCTCGTCGTTCGCCGCCATCACCTCAGTGATGCGGAGCATCGACGCGTCCAGCGCGATGCGCGGCTCAAGCCGTTGGCAGAGGAGACGACGCGATTGGAAGGCCTTGGTCTTTCGGCGCATAGCGGTCTTTGGTCCGTCCCTGCAATCGGTCGCTGCTGAATCGATGAGATGGCGTGCGCAGACGGGCGACTGTCATCGCTCGCCGGGAGAGGCTCCACAGAGGCGCCTCATGCACGAGTAGTGCTGTGATCTTAATCAAAAATTAACGCAACGGCCACATCGCGGCGGCAGAAATGCCGCGAGTCAAATACAGAGAGAGGGTGAGGGGCGTTCCCAGAAGCCGACGACGCGCGCCACACCGACACGGAATTCAGGCCGTCATCGGCGACATCGTCGCCTCCCGCATTAGGGTCGATCGAAGCTGATTTAACGCCTCGTCGAACGCAGTCCCGCAGTCGATGCGAGAGCGACTGCCATAAGCAGCACGCTGGCCGGCTCGGGGATGCGTGTGCCGATGATCTCGATGTTGTCAAACTCGACCTCGCCATTGCCGCCTTCGGCGAAGTCGTTGAGGATGATCTCGATGTTCGAGGCGCCGTTGAGTAGGGGCGATAACGCGATCAAGCCGCTGTCGGCGATCTGATTCTCGGGGTCGGCCGGGACATAGTCCATGAACGTAAGGCCGAGGTTGTTCTGCGCGGGGTCACGGAACCACGTGCCGGACGGGCCGTCGACGCGGTAGAAGATGTCGAAGGTGCTAGGCAAGTCGTCTGGATTGCCTTCGATGTCGAAACGGATCTGGAAGTCGCTGAAGCCGGCGCCATTGAAAGTGAGGTACATCATCGCGTCATTGCTGAAGTCGTCGCTGAGCGCGCCGGCGCCGTCGTTCTTGTCGACGAGGAACGTCGAGACACCATCAATGTCAAAGTCATCACCTCCGCCGCGGGCGTCGTCGAACTTCAGCGATCGAGTCGGCCCGTAGCTAAGGCCGCTAGTGGCTGAGGTGTAAGCAAAGCCGTTGCCGCCGTTGTTGTCGAGCTCGTCGGCTACGCCGAGATAGGCTTGGAGGTTGGCGTCGCCCGAGGCAGTTGCATCGACGTCGGCGGCGAAGTCTTGCTTGTTGGGATTCGTGCCGAAGTCAAAGTCATCCGCGAAGCCCCAGAAGGCCACAACCTCGGCTGCAGGGGCGACATTGACGTTCGCGCAAGCGAGGATCAGGAGTGGCATGAAGGCTACGCGGGCACGAATCATCGGTGCTGGCCTCGGGAGTTGTGGGGAATCCGCATCGACGAGACGCCGCCAGCGGAAATCAACGGCAGCGGGTCGGTAGCAGTTTAGTTTGATCCAACGGACAGGTGAGGTCCACCGTTTGGATGCCAGGAAGGGCTCTCTTCGGGGCGTCGTTTCCTCCCGACGTGATGCCGCCGGCGGACGTAGAATTTTCCCCATTTAGTCGCTGCTTCGGCGTTTCGTAGCCAGGATGAGACCTAGAGATCCCTAGCGGAACGAGATGAATCCCCCGGGGGGATTCTGTGAGAATTTGGTTAAGTTTTAACGGTTGGCGCTCCATCTACCTACGGCGGACTGCCCCATCTTTTCGGGATTGTCTTATCAAAAACGGTCCAGGCGTACAGGCTCCCAGCGGGCCTAGTTCGCCGCTGGAACAAGGCCCGCGGCCGCAATTGGTCGCCGTAGAGAGCACGTAGAGAACAGGCACGGCATGGCGTCTTTTCGGAATCGGCAGTGGGGTTTTCGTACGCTCACCAAGGCCCCGCGGGCGAAGGTCGGGAATCAACGGGCGCGGCGGCGGATGCGTGTCGAGGGGCTCGAAGACCGGCGGATGATGGCCGTCGTCGTCAACGAGATCCATTACAACTCGGCCGACAACACGAGCCTGGAGGAGTTCGTTGAGCTCCACAACACGGCGGCGACACCGGTCGACCTGTCGGGCTGGCGCTTCAGTGACGGGGTCGAGTACACGTTCGCCCCTGGGCAGACGATTCCCGCCGGCGGTTACGTCGTGATCGCGGAGGACCCAGCCGGTTTGTACAAGGCGTTCGGCGTCACAGCGATCGGGCAGTTTTCGGGCGGGCTGAACAATGACGGCGAACGCATCGCCCTCTCCGATGCTCAGGGCGACCTCGTCGATGAGGTCGAGTACGGCGCGACGTTCCCCTGGCCGATCGCTGCGGACGGCGGCGGCGGCTCGATGGAACTGATCAACCCGCTGCTGGACAACAACCTCGGCAGCAACTGGCGGCCATCTTACCTCGTGCCGCTCTTCGGTGAGACGAATGAGCAAGAGCCCGCCAGCGCCGGTGCGCTTAACGACCTCGTGCACCGCTGGAGTTTCTCAGGGAACCTCGACGACAGTGTCGGCAACGCCGACGGCGCACTCGTTGACCCGCAAGGCCTTGCGTCCTTCGGTAGCGGCGTGCTCGACGTCAGCGCCAACAGCGGGCAAGGGTCCAATCAATTCCCGTTTAACTCGGGCGCCTACGTCGACCTGCCGAACGGCATTGTTTCAGACCTGGGCAATGACGCCACCTTCGAGTGGTGGGGGACGATCACCCGCAATCGGACCTGGGCGGAAATCTTCTCTTTCGGCACGAGCGACGCCGGTGAGGACCGTTCGCCCAGCGCCAGCAACCAAGATTACATCACGCTGATCCCGCAATCGGGGAACGGCACGCTGCGGGTCACCCACCGCTTTGGCGCGTCGGGGTCAGAGAGCTCGGCGGACTGGAGCGAGGCGCCGGAGCTGAACGTCGAGCACCACTTCGCCGTCACGTGGAACAGCGAGACCGAGTTGCAAACGTTGTACGTCAACGGCCAGCCGATCGCGAGCAGTCCGACCCTCATCGACCTAGCGGACATCAACGACAACAACAACTGGCTCGGTCGCTCGCAGTGGAACGACCCGCTCTTCGATGGCTACCACAACGAGTTCCGTA